GTGCCGGTGGGATTGAGGAGGTCTTCAAAGTATTCCGCCCACCGACCCACAACATCCCGAGTTGAGGTCAGCAGCACACCACTCCCACTATAAACAGTGTTGGTGGCATACCGCTTCCCCCCCCTGAGACGCCGGATGGTGGACCAGAAACGTCTCGAAGCCGTGCGGAAGTCGTTCTCCATGGCCTCTCCGAACTCCTCCCATGCCCGAGTTTTTGCCTCAGCAACCACCCGAGCCGCATGTCGCTTGGACTGCCGGTACCCATCAGCTGCTTCCGGGGTCCCACAGGCCAAAAAGGCCCGATAGGACTCCTTCTTCAGCCTGACAGCATCCCTCACCGACGGTGTCCACCATCGGGGTCGAGGGTTGCCGCCGCGACAGGCACCGACAACCTTGCGGCCGCAGCTCTGGTAAGCCGCCTCGACAATAGAGGCACGAAACATGGTCCACTCAGACTCAATGTCCCCCACCTCTCTTGGAACATGTTCAAAGTTCTCCCGGAGGTGGGAGTTGAAACTCCGTCTCACAGGAGACTCTGCCAGACGTTCCCAGCAAACCCTCACAATACGTTTGGGCCTACCAGGTCTGACCGGCATCCTCCCCCACCATCGGAGCCAACTCACCACCAGGTAGTGATCAGTTGACAGCTCCGCCCCTCTCTTCACCCGAGTGTCCAAGACATGTGGCCGCAGATCAGATGAGACGATGACAAAGTCGATCATCGAACTGCGGCCTAGGGTGTCCTGGTGCCAAGAGCACATATGGACACCCTTATGCCTGAACAAGGTGTTCGTTATTGACAATCCATGACGAGCACAGAAGTCCAACAACAGAACACCACTCTGGTTCAGATCAGGGGGGCCGTTCCTCCCAACCACACCCCTCCAGGTCTCACTGTCATTGCCCACATGAGCATTGAAGTCCCCCAGCAGAACAAGGGAGTCCCCAGAAGGTGCACTTTCCAGTACCCCCTCTAAGGACTCCAGAAAGGGTGGATAATCTGAACTGCCGTTTGGTGCATAAGCACAAACGACAGTCAGAACCCGTCCCCCCACACGTAGGCGGAGAGAGGCCACCCTCTCATTCACCGGGGTGAACCCCAATACACAGGCACCAAGTTGGGGGGCAATTAGTACGCCCACACCTGCTCGGCGCCTCTCACCAGGGGCAACTCCAGAGTGGAAGAGTGTCCAGCCCCTCTCAAGGAAACTGGTTCCAGAGCCCGAGCCATGCGTAGAGGTGAGTCCGACTATTTCTAGCCGGAACCTCTCAGCCTCACACACCAGCTCAGGCTCCTTCCCCACCAGTGAGGTGACATTCCACGTCCCAATAGCCAGCTTCTGTAGCCGAGGATCAGACCGCCAGGGTCCCCGCCCTCGGCCACCACCCATCCCACATTGCACCCGACCCCTTTGGCCCCTCCCACAGGTGGTGAGCCCATGGGAAGGGGGACCCACGTCTCCTCTTCGGGCTGTGCCCGGCCGAGCTCCATGGGTAAAAGCCCGGCCACCAGGCGCTCGCCCACGTGCCCCACCTCCAGGCCTGGCTCCAGAGTGGGGCCCCGGTGACCCACGTCCGGGCAAGGGAACACTAGGTCCATTTGTGTTTTCCATCATAGGGGTATGTTTGGGCTGCACTTTGTCTGGTCCCTCACCTAGGACCTGTCTGCCATGGGTGACCCTACTAGGGGCATAAAGCCCCTGACAGCATAGCTCCTAGGATCATTGGGACACTCAAACCCCTCCACCACGGTAAGGTGGCAGCCCAGGGAGG